ACCCCTGGCAGCCCCTCACCAGCTGGACCTTCCCCCTGGGCCGCCTCGGGTCTGCCGGCGTCTGTGGGGGGCTGGGGCAGCCCCGGGGCTCTGGCTCCGGCCCTCCTGCCACCCTGGGGCTGCTCAGGGGCTGGTGGCTCCGGCTGGGGCGGGCACAGCCTGGCTGGCAGGGCTGAGAGTCGTTGCCCTTTCCCGGGGGGCCGTGGTTCCTGCTCCCTGCCCCAGGCTGCCCGGCTTTGCTGGGGCCCGGTTGCTGGGGCCCCCGTCAGCCTGCCCCTGCCCCGGGGGTCAGCAGCCGCACAGGGAGCCTGGCTCGCCCCGAAGCGCAGCTCGAAGGAGCGAACCTGCTCCCTGACGGAGCAGCCTGGCCCCACGCTGGGGCCCCTGCCCCTGCCCCCGCCGGGGGGAGGCCGTGTCTCCCCAGCTGGCTCCATCCGCTCCCTCTGGGCAGGGGGCCCGGCGCTGCTGGGACGCAGGGCTGGGCCCCTGCTGGACGGGACTCTCTCCTCACTCCTGCGGGGCGGCCAGTCCCTTCCACTGGGCCTCGGCTCCTGGCGCCCCGGCCCCCGGGCCCTGGGGCTGCGGGGCCGGGGGCCGGGTTCCTCGCTTGCGACCGAGCTCTTCTGGAAGAACCTGATCCGCTCCTGCAGGCCGAGGCTCGGGAGGCCAAGGGCCCTCGGGGCCGACGCCTCCTGCAGGGGCCTCACTCGGAAAAGCGGGGAGGGCCCCGGCCCCCGCAGGACGTCACAGCTCCCAGCTCGCCAAGGCCTGGCAGTGGTGGCCCAGCTCCTAGGCCGTGGTTGGCCAGGTCCCGGGCAGGGGGGCTGGGCAGCGTCTGGCTCCATTCCCAGCAGCGGGTGAGGGAACTACGAGTCCGTGTCCCACGGGGCGGCTGGGGGATCCCCAACTGATCCCGCTGGATCCCTTGTAGCTGGTCCTGCTAGATCCGTCAGCTTCCCCCAGCCAATCCCGGCATGTCCATCTTCAGGGGATGCTCCCCCGTGCGCTGGGCTTCTTCCCAGAGTGACGGAGCTTCCCAGCCTCGCCCGCCTGCACCGGGACAGCGACTGAGGAGGTGCCCTGGGCTGCTGCGTCCCTCCTGGACCTGTTGGAAGCAGAGGCCAAAAGGGGGGTTGATTCCCTGGATCCTGCTCCGTCTCCGTGCGACAGGCCCTGGCCTGGGCACTCCCCCACCGGAGTCTCACGCCCCCAAGCGTGTCATTACCGGGCTCTTTGCAGCCACCGAGTTATTTAAGGTGCCATCTAGACAGAACCTGCTCTGGCGTGGGAGGGAGCCATTTAACCCTCGCATGATCAGGGGCAGGCATGGCGCCGGCTGTCTCGTGTTCTGGATGGGCCTGGGACCGAGCAAACTCCAGTGTCTTTGGGATTTGGCTGCCCGCGAGAGCGATGAGGCTCTGGGAGAGGGCAGGCAGCGCCCGCCGCTGGGTGAGCAGGACTCGAGCCAGACCAGTTGAATCCTGCACCCAGAAGCACTTTACAAACGAGCCAGGGATGGCTTCAGCCACCTCTAGGATGCAACACGTCAGCCGGAGAACAGGGAGAACGGGATGGTGGGGGGTCGTTCAGCACCCAGAGCCAGGTTTTGTTAGAGGGGAAAAATTTTTGAAAAAAAAAAAAACAGCAGCAGATTTGAAATGAGATTTACAAAAATAAATAAAACGAGTTTTATTCTGCTGCAAGTTTGCAGCCTGGATCCCCACGGCCTGATGGGCACCGGCCACCCAGATGCCATGGGCATTGTCTGCTCAGACCCTGCTGCGTTTCTACCCGCCCATGGGACCCCAAGCGCACGCGGCCTGTTTGCGTTCAGCCGGGCGCTGGACCTAGCTGGCTGTGTGCAGAGGGCAGCGGAGTTCGTTCCTTGCTCCTCTCCGGGAGCAGTGAGAGGCCGGAGGTTTGGGTTGAACTGTCTGACGGTGAGCTGGGCAACGTGTCTTAAATGGGCCTGTTGAAGCCAGCTGTTGAGGGCAGGGATGCACCCACCCCAGCTGCCGGGGAACCAAGGGATGGGAGAGGAGCCGCCCAAGTGGGCATTTGGCCAGGACATGGGTCCAGAGAAGTGCCAGGCACCTTCCATCACAAGTAGCCAGGATGCAGCGCTTTGGGGTTCATCCAGGTGTCTCCTCACTCCCTCTCGCACCAGAGACAGCACCTCCCCTCTCCCCGGTGCTGTGGGCAGCGCACGGTTAGAGCAGACACACAGCCATGAGGACAGGCTAGGCCTGCTGTCCCTGCCATGCAGCACCCAGCTCCTGTGATTACAGGGGGCAGAGCGGGCACAGCCTTGGCCTTCTGCTGCCCGCTACGGCACCTCCCCCAAAACACACCGCCGAGGGGCCAGGTAACCTCCCCCCACGTCTCACCCCTGTCCCCATCCCCCAACCTCCTGAGCAGCTGCCCAGGGTACACTCGATAAACCCGCCAATGGGGAAGGCACCAACTGGTACATGGGATCTGCCCTCCCCCCAATACCGCTGGCAGAAGGGGCGGGGGGTCTCTGTCAGTCTCTGGCCCCCACCCCCAGCAGGTCTGACCTAGGCTTACCCTGCAGAAGAGCCCCAGCCCTGGGGATGCAGGGAGCTGGTGCTGTACCCTCCCCGACTGGGGCACCGCCAGGCGGCCCGGAGCCGGAAGAGGCCGTTGCTGTGCACGTGGGGTGCCGAGCAGCATCTGGGTTAGAAAGGCAGCCCCCGCCCGGCTCTCTGCGGGCAGCTCAGCAAGGTGCAGGGGCGACTTCCTGCCCGCCTGCTTCCGCTGGGCCTGGGGACAAGCCACCACCGCTTCCCTTCTCGACAGAGCCCGCCACGGGCCTGCTGCGTGGGGAGGTGTCTGCAGCCCCTTGGTGCAGCCGCGCTGCGGTAAAGGGGCTGTCAGACAATGAGGTGTCAGGGCCACAGCTCCCCCCTCACTCCGTCTGCCCCCCGCCCCTCGTTGCACGGTCCTGCTGCTGCAGGAACAGCCACCCTGAGCACCATTAACCCCTGGCCCAGCGAGCCCTAGTAAGGGTTAACTGCCCCCTGGGGCGCAGCTTGGAACCTACAGAATCCCACTGCTGAGGGGCCCTGCACAGCACCAACTGGGGACAAGGCGGGAGCCACTCCCCTCGAGGAACCACGGGCCAGCCTGGATGTCCCTAGCCCCCACCACACGCAGCTCTGGCCCGGGGCAGGGCCCTGCCGGCACGCCCTCGCCGGCACGCCCTCGCACCCCCTGCAAAGCCCCGACTGGGGAAGGGGCAGCTCCTGCCCCCAGCGGGTTGATCACTATGTGTCAGGCTCACATAGATCACATCAATCTGTGTTATTCACACCACGTACGCCAGCATGCATGGCCAGGGCGCTACATGGGGCATAGGGATTTCTAACCAGTCCAGGGCCCAAAGGGCTGCGAAGCCCAGAGCACTTTGCAATGCTGACGTCAGCTTTGGTATCGGAAAACAGGAAACTTGTCAAAGGTGCAAAGAGCACCGTTCTGCCCTGGTACAAGCGGGGGACCGGATCAGTACCTGGAACGCGAGTATCCAGACCAAAGAAAAGGCAGGGACAGAACCAGAAGTGAAGGAAACGGAACAAACAGATGGGTCGGCCGTTAGGGGCAGGTAGAGAGTTCTGCAACTTGTCACATCAGCCTACGAATGCTCCCAGGGGAAGCACGTAGCTTCCCTTGAGCCACGCTGCACACAGCGGCTTCCCAGGAACATTTTCCTGCACTACGTGATTGACTTGAGCAAAAAACCTGGCTGATGTCAGCGTTCTGGTCTTGAGTAGGTTTCATTATGAACCAAGGTGTGATCAACCAATTGCCTGGTCAGTTTACCAACCCTGAGACAGCTCCTCCCATGGGGCTACAACCCACCCACCCCTCCTGCCTCCCAGTCAGAGAGGAGGATTGCTGGGCGCTGCGAGGCAGGACCCCAAAAGCCAGCAGCTCTTGGAGAAAACTGAGGGGGAGGATGTGTGCTCTGGGGCAAGGCTGGGACAGCTGTCTCCGTGCAGCTGAGACCCTCCCAGCACTTTGAACCCCAGCCCAGGTGTGGGCTCTGCAGCCCCGTAGCCAGCCAGTGTGGGGGCTGTAAAGCCAGCCCCCACCCTCCCCAGGCAGGGAAGTCAGCAGGAGCTAGTCTATTAGTCACCACTGGGTGGCAGCCCCTGCCCAGGAGAGACTCCTGCACCATCCCCTGCAGGAGAGGCACGTGTGGGAATGGCCCTGGGGGATTCTGGCCAGAACCCTGCACAGCCTTAGACGGGGGCAGGAAGGAGGGACCAGGCCAGCCCACCTGGCCCTGGCATGCAGGAGACACGCAGCCTCAGGGTGGGGACTAAGCAAAGAGCTCCTAATGAGAGCGCAGTTCCGTTGGGTCACCGTCCGCAGCCAGTGACCACTTCCACTTCGTCTTGGGCAGGAGAACATGCCTGCACCTGGGCCCTGGAAAGGGCAAGATGCCTGGGGACCACGGAGGGGAAGGCCAGCAGCTGTTGAGACATAGGTGTAAACAAAAAGGGGGCAGGCAGGCCCAGAGATGGAGCGGGCCTGGCCTCCTCCACTACCCATCAGTATACAGGGACAGGGTCCGGCCTGCTGCTTTCCCCCCCGCCAGCACCTGTGACCTGCTCCAGGGCCCAGGGCCAAAAATCCTGACCAAGGCTCTCAGAAGGTAGGGATTAAAAAATACACACATCACTTTGTGAGTTTTATTCTCTTTTAGTAAATAACCCGCGCGGGGGCTTCATTTGAAGTGACCAGTTCCAACTGAAAAATACAAGATCTGGACTGCATAGAAAAAAAGACCAAAAAAACCCAAAAGCAGAATATACTTACAGCGTGCAAGGGGGGAGAGGAAGGACCTGGCCTGGGGCCCACTGTGGGGAAGGGGGCAGATGGAGAACTGAAAAGAAAGAGGGGTTTCCCTCCACATACCCTCCTGGGCTTGTGGGAGCGATGGAGTGTGCGGAGGAAATGAGGACTCCAGGACGGCGTGGGGTTTTCGTTTTTATATACAAGACACATTTATCCATTAAATTTAGAACACAGTACAAAAAACACTTCAACTAATTCATCGGACAATGCTGTTCATATCAATTACTGTTCTTATTCCTAATATTAAAGGGGGTTTGCTGTAGGTGGGTTTGCAGCTTTCCACTCCTTTGGGTCCACCGGGGTCAGGGGGCAGCAGGATGTGGGGAGAAGGGGGGAGAGAAAGGAGTAAAAACCAAAAAAGGCCCCTACGGCAAACGGTTCAGAGTCTGAACGCAGAGAGAGAGAAAAAGAGAGAGAAAATACAAATTCTATATTACATACAACAGGAAAGGTGGCTGAAAACAGACACAATGCAGAGCCAAGTGGCCGGCCTGCCCCGGGGGCTGCTGGCGCTGTGCCGGGGGATAGGGGGCGCTCTCTCCTCCCCGGGTTCCTTTGTTGTCGTTTTCGGTACGTTTCTCTTCCAGAAGCGAGTGGCGAGGTGCGCAGGGCCGCTGCAGCCTCAGTTGGCGCCCCAGTTGTAGCTGTTGTAGGTGGACTTGTTGGCCTGGGATTTCTGGGGGATGGAGCTGCCCTGGCTGCGCTGTCCGGTGCCGCTCTGAGGGGGGGGTGGAGGGGAAGCAGAGGGTTACTGGGGGGAGCTGGAAGCCCTAAGAATCCCCGGGGTCCTGAGCCCGGCCTGCTCTGGACGTGCCTTGCCCTCAAACCCAGGAGTCCCGCACCGGCGCTTAACAGCACGAGCTGCAGACCTGTGAGACCAGTTCCAGGTGACCTGCCCCATCCTCACCGTGCCAGGTGAGCTCTAGGCCGCAGCGTCGCTCTGCTGCACAAGGCAGCCATGGTGCCAAACTGCTGCCACTCTAGCCCAGAGAGACGGCCCAGCCGCCCGCACCGCACCCCCAGCCCAGCGGCTCTCTCGGCCCTGCTTTTCAGCAGGCTGACACCAGCCCATAGCCCCCGACCCAGCTGGGACCCCCCACCTTCCCCTTCCACATGAGCCACTCCATGCATCTTACTCCGGACCAGGAATGCTTCCAATACCACCACGCAGCAGCAGCTGGAGGGCTCGGCCAGGGCTGGGGCTCAGGGAACTGGGGGGGGTGGGTGGGCGGGGGTGAGCATGGGCGTGTGTGTGTGCCGCGGGTGTGAGTGTGTGTGCACTTACTGACTGAGGGCCTCCCTCCTCGCCTGGCAGGGTGGTACGGGAGAGTATGAAGGGCTAGTCGGGGGCTGAGGGGCCTAGGGGCGGGGGTGGGGAGGGGGCAAGGCATTATCATTCAGAGAGGTTCATTACCTGGTCCTCCTGCTGGCGTTGGCAGCACAGTATCATCTGCAAATATGGAAGCTGTTGCAGTACCAGGATATGTAAAATAAAGGGACAAACTATGACAATAGAAATCCACGGTTAGACCTGACAGCTACGGGGATCGTGGGGGTGGCAATTAACCCCTCCACTGCTGGCCTGCGGAGCCGCCATTCCAAGGAACGGGGAGGTCAGGACGTACCAGGTATGTTCCCGGGGGGAGGGGCAATGGCTGAACGTACCTGGTACGGCCCAGCAGCAATGGGGTGGCGCTGAGTACCCCCCAGCTGAGTGCACCCCGGGCCTTCCTCACCTCTTCCTCTCACAGGCCGTGTATGTGCGGGCGTGAACGAGCGTGTGCATGTCACCGCGTGTCTGCATGTGTCCGCTGTGGGGCATGAGAAGGGAGGGGGGGGGCCAGGGGAGCGAGAGAGCGCCCTAGGAAATAACCCGGCAGGGGGCTAGGGGGCTGCTTACCTGGCCGTCCTGCTGCAAATGGTGGTGGAGGATCTGCGAGTGGGGCTGCTGATGCGGGGTGAGGATGTGCATGAACGGCGCCGGTGGGTACGCTGCGGCGGTCGCGGGGTTGAGGGGGCCGCCGCTGCCTAGTGCTGAAGGCAAGTTGAACGAGGCTGCCGGGGTTCCAGTGTGAAATCCCTGCTTCTCGAAGGACTGCTGCCGAGGAGACACCACGGGGGTGAGGGGCGCCAAGGAGATCCACGCTGGCAAATGCCTGCGTCTCCCCAGCACCAGTGGCCGCGGCGTGGGCAGGTGCAGGGTGAGGCTCCTTCACCCTGCCTGCTTCAGAGGGGAGACGTTTCCCAGCCCCTGGCCGCTCTCTCAAATCCCGCCCAGCCGGATCTCCTCCGCCAGGAGAGAATCGCCCCACAGAGCCCCCTGTATTAGGGGCATGTCTACACTGCAGCTGGGCGCGTGCTTCTCAGTCCAGCATGGACGTCACAACGACGGCAGAGGCTTGGGCCGTGTCCACAGTGGTTTGAAGTGCACTAGCTCGAGCCAAGCTAGTGAAAGTGTCTAACTGGCCCAAGAGGCACACTCCCAGCTGCACTGCAGACACCCAGACAGGCCAGCAGTCCTCACAAAGCCTGGCACGTGTCCCCCCGGAGCGCCCCCCCACAGCTACTATCTGCCCAGAGACCATGGACGAGACACCAACCTGGGTCTTGGAGTAGACGGAGCCCGAGATGTCTGGCACTCCCGTGTTACTGGATGTCACGGATACACCTGTGGAGGGAGGAATCCAAAAGGCTGCGTCAGGCAGGGCAGGGGTTGGGCACCCTGGGGTTACCAGGGGAACCAGCGCCACTCCTGGGCAGGAAGGAGCCACTGCACCGAATGCAGCCACTGGAGAGTCACCCCCCTCCAGGTGGGGTTTGGAGAGAGCCTCCGCCCGGCAGCAGGAAGCCCCTTCTCAGGAGTGGAGAATCTGTCACATTCCCGGCTTGAATGCCCTGGCCTCAGACACCCCACCCCGCTCCCACCCCCCACCTCAACCCGATTATACCAGGAGAAGAAATCCTCTGCTTTGTGCGAGGTGCCAGACGGCACCCGGCAGGGGCAGGGCTCCTACGAAGGGCACGACAGCTCTGTCCTTCTAGACAACGGTCCCCAGAGGGGTTGACCTTGGCCATCCACGGCCATCCATTTCTAACAGCTGCCATTTCCTCATCTCTCCGGTTCCACTGGTGCGTGCTCCCGAGACCGCTGAACGCGCCGCTAGGGGCATGCCCGCAGAGCTTACGCACTGTCGCCGGGTAGCTTCAGCACTACTAAGGGTGCGCTGAGATGGCCCAACACCAGCATTCAGTCCACATCCCAGCCCTCCTGCGTGGAGCCGTTTGGCACCTTGCTAATGCTGGTACAGGGAACAGCTCCGATGGGGAGCGTGGCTCTGCAGAATTAGCAAAGCTGTTCAGACAAGAGGAAGAACTCCTGCTGCAAGGATCCTGACTGGAGTGGACTTCGATCTGGTTCTGGGACGATCCGTCAAGGAGGAGACAATCAGGGAAGGGTGACAGGCAGCTCTTGGCTCCCAGAACAGCACAATTCGCTGCCAAAGCAGTTTCTTCGGGTTTCCGATGAGAAATGTGGTCTAGATAAAATTATTATAAGGTGGGTGCAGAACTGGTTGGAAGACTGAACTCAAAGGAGTTATCAGCAGTTTGCTCTCAGATTGGGAGGGTGTATCTAGTGGGGTCCTGCAGGGGACAGGCCTGGGACTGATACTAGTCAATATTTTCATTAATGACTTGGATAACACAGTGGAGAACATGTTTATCAAGCATGCAGATGACACCAAGCTGGGAGGGGCTGCGAGCACGATGGAGGAGAGGACTGGAATGCAGAACAACCATGACAAATTGGAGTGTTGGTCTGAAGTCAACAAGGTGAAATTAAATAAAGACAGTGCAAAGTCCTTCACTTAGGAAGGAAAAAATTCAATGCACAACTAAAAGTGGGGAATAACTGGCTAGGTGGTAGTTCTGCTGAAAAGAACCTGGGGGCTCGAGTGGATGCAGGTGGAAAAAAGGCTGCTCATACCCCCAGAGTGAGAACAGGAGTGTCGCACGTAAGACACGGGAGGTCATTGTCCCAGCTCTACTCAGCACTTGCAAAGCCTCAGCAGAATCCTGTGTCCAGTTCTGGGGGCTGGTTCAGGAAAGATGTGGAAGAATTGGAGAGTGTCCAGAGGAGAGCAACAAAAATGATGGAAGGTTTAGAAAACCAGACCTAGGAGGAAAGGTTAAACTGGGCAGATTCAGTCCTGAGAGACGACGACAAAGTGTAGTGATTAAGAACCGGATAGTCTTTGAATACATGAAGGGAGGTTACATGGCGGACAATGATCAATTGCTCTCCACGGCCACGGGAGGTAGGATAAGAAGTAACGGCTCAATCTGCAGCAAGGGATATGTAGGTGAGATCAGGGAAAAACTTCCTAGCTCTCAGGGGAGTTAAGCTCCGTCATAAGTGTCCGAGGGAGGAGGTTTAAGAACAGGTTGGTCGAACAGCAGTCAGGGCTGGTCTAAGTTTACTTGGGCCTGCTTCAGCTCTGGGGCGGGACTTGATTACCTCTTGAAGTCCCTTCTAGCCCAACATTTCCAGGATATCCTGGATGCCACAACGAAGGGGATGGAACATTTCCGCATCTCTTGAACTAGCCAGGGCTTTGCAACCACGGAGGTGGGGCTGAGAGCAAGAGGGCTGTGGCCATAGCATTTTGGGGACAGCAGGGGCAAAACACATTCCCACCCCCACAAGGCACAGAAAGGGCAGGGTAGCCCCTTAATACACCACACTCATTAGGAGCGGGGCAAGTCTAACGCACACCCAGGCCCAGTGCTAGCTAAAGCCCTTGATTTGTAGGCAACGTTCGTTCGTGGGGACTGAGTACACACACACACACACACACTCTTCATCAGATGGGCGGAGATTTCACTTCAGCTCACAACTTCCCAGCAAACGACATGCCAGGTCCAGACTTCGCCACACAGAGCAACAGGTGCCGTCGCTCAGGGTCTTGGGGGAAGAGAGATGACAGTGGCCTAGGGGCAGAAATGGATCTAGGTTCCAGGCTGCTGAGAAGTCCCCTGGCCTTAAGCGCTGACCTTGGCAGTAAGAAGCGTGGCCTGTGCATTTCCCACCTCCAGTGCACCAAGGACAGGCTGGAAAGGCCAGGGCAGGGTCAGCGGACTCACCGGGCCAGCGCAGCAGCAAGAATTACTCTGATGTACAGGTCATGGTGGGGGACACAGACCAGCTGGGCCTTCTCACCCTGATGCTGGGCACAAACACTAGAGACACCGGCTATTTGTCAAAGCCCAGTGGAGACAGCACATACTGTCTGGTGTCAGACAAAGCCCAGCCTGTCAACACACGGGCAGAAATCTTAGAGAAATTCCAGACGCCTGGGATAATGCGAATATTGTGCCAACATTAAAACAAGAAAAGACAAGCAGGATGACCTGGGTAACTACAGGCCAGGCACCCTGACATCAATCACAGACAAAATAATGGAAAAGCTGATACGGGATTCAACTGAAAAAGAATTCAAGGACAGGAATATAATAATGCCAGTCAACCTGGTTTTACAGAAAATAGGGCTTGTCAAACAAGCCTTACTTCCTTGAGATTCCAAGTTCGGGTGATAAAGGTAAATGCACAGATGTAATACACTTTTGGAAGGTGTCTGACTTCGTGCCCCACGACTTTCTCATGGAAAAACTGGCACTATACAATCCCCGTGGGGTACACGTTACATGGATTAAGAACCGGCTGACATCTCAAACAGTAGCTGTCAATGGGTGTTTCTGTGGGATTGGTACTAAGTCGGACCCTGTTCATCATTTTCACCAGTGATCTGGAAACAAATATAAAGTCACTGATGATGAAACAGAGCCTGGCAGAGTGATCAACAATGAGGAGGCCAGGGCAGTCAGACAGTGCAATCCGGATTGTTTGGTAAGCTGGGCCATTTGAATAAAATGGGTTTGAATAGAAAGTTGTACATCTAGGAACAAGTAATTCCCTACAGAGTCGGGGGCTGTCTCTCGGAGGTAGTGACGTCGCCGTTCAACTCAGGACTCCACAGCACTGCTTCTAATTAGCCAGCAGGTGCCCACTCCATGAGGTGTAAGCGCCCCTGGATAAGCGGCCACCCCAGCCCCAGGGCTCTTGAAGTCAGTCCCAGGACGTTTGGCACAGTTCAACACAAGGATGATTTCTGATGGATCTCCCGGCCTGGGATTGAAAGTGGTGTTTGTCCAGACCGCAGCAGCACTTTGTTTCCAACAGCAACCTGGAGAGACCCAATGCCGAAAGGCATCATCTGTGACGGCCCAGCAGCCCAGAGCAGGCAGGCTCAGTGGACTAGTTTGTTCCAGCCCAGGACAATTGCCCGGTTCCTCTCCTGTGACCCCCTGACAACCCTCCACATGTTACAGGCATACCGACTGACTGGCCACCGAATGTCTCTTACCAGTGCTGTATCCATGAGAGCCATAGCCGCTGGGCTGCTGGAAAGGGGTTGCTGATGCGTTGACGCTGACATTCACACCATGCTGCTTGGAAGAGGTAGGAGCGACCTAGAGAAAGAAAGGGACCAGGGCGGTGAGCACGGGGCCAGCCAGGCTCCTATGCCCTGCCCCTCCCCCCGAGGCGTGGGAAGGGGGAGCACTCACAGGGAACACGGCGGGCCCATACTGGAAGGTACTGGGGAGCCCTGGTACCCCTGTGTAGTATGGCAGACTGGTGTAACTGTAGCCAGGAGGCAGAGCTGGGTTCAGGAACGTCTGCTGCGTGGTATGGTGCGTCTGCGTCTGGTTCTGCTGAGGCTGCGCCAGAGTTGTTGCTGGAGCAGGGGAGGAGGCGTCGCCTCGGCCGAACTTTGTGAGGTCACCTGGAGCGGGGAGGGATACAGGTGGGAACGAGGCCGCCGGGCTGAGCGACAGACACGTGAGCGACTGCTTTGCACTGTCACCTTTCACAAGGATCTCAAAGAACTTGGTCAACAACCGGCCTCGCCCCCCCGTGGGGGACAGGTGAGCCTTAGCCCTGCTGCGCGAGGCTCAGGGAGGGGAGCTGGCTTGCCCAGGCTCAGAGTGACAGTTGCAGAGCCAGGAACACAACGCAGGCCCCTGCCCCAACCTCCAGATGATCCTTCGAGGATTCCAAGCCATTAAATCAGAGGGGCCTGGTACACGGAGAGAACTCATTTCGGACCCTCTGCACACAGCAGCCACGCAAGGCTGGACGGTTACTAAACCGACTGCTTTCCCCAAAGCCCCTGTCCTCTGTGCCCCTCACAACCCACCGGCAAGCAGACCCCAAAGGGAGAGGGGTTCCTGTAACCAGCTCCCCAGGGGCTAAACTACACGACGTAGTGTCCTGCCAAAGTGCTTCAAGCCCTTATAGCAGCCTATGGCCTTCACACTCCAAGCCCCGCACAGGGCGAGCGAGGCCCACCCACACTGGGGTTTGTCGGAGAGACTCCTCCAGGCCCCCCTCGCAGCCTGAGCGCCAGGATCTCGCAAGTAGAGTCCCGGAGTTTATGGCAATTCCAAACGAAGCTTGGAACAGGCCCAGGACAAAGCAGCAGCTCACCAGCGATCCCAAGCTGCACGGGTAGGTGCACGCCAGGGGGCCTGCGGGCTCGGGCTCATGTAGGCGTTTGGGCTGCAGCCCGGGCTCTAGGCCCTTGCAAGGCGGGAGGGTCTCAGACCTCAGGCTGCAGCCCAAGCATCTCACCACTGTTCACCGGCCCCTCAGCCTGAGTCCGCTGGCCCAGGCCAGCTGCGGGTGTCTAAAGCGCAGTGTAGACAGACCCTAAGAGCCCTGCCCCGTCAGCCAGTAGCTGCCCGGTGCTCGGATCTCACTGAACGCGGGAGTCAGCTATTGACTAGCTGAAGACGTGAAGAGTTTCTTTTTACAGTGCTGCTCACACCTCCATCCTCTCCACGCCATGGCAGAGAACCAGAACCTTGCAGAGGCCCCATGACCTGCAGAGAATACTCGCAAATATCACTTCCTCTGCTCCTGCCAGCAGCTGGCCCTGCAGACTGGGCACAGGCCGAGGGGTCTGGGAAGCCTCCATTTGCATTTCTTTAAGAGCACCTGCTTGCTCTTCCCTGCAAACACTCTCCCCATTCAGAGCGCACACAGTAAGGCAGTGACTTCGGCGAGAGCCCGCTCCAGGACAACCACAAACGCGAATTATGGCTCCAGTGCTAACTTGGCAAATGCTGCAGGCGACAGCCCAGCAGCCTGGGGCTGGGATTCTGAGCTCAGCGGGCTGAAGCGATGCCCAGGAAAGCAAAGACAAGCGGCTAAAGGAGCGAATTGCAGGCCTCGGGACGGGAAGCCCCTTTTAGGCCAGGTGGCCCCTCCTAATTCCAGCTCCGGACTGGCCCCTCGGGCGCATTTGCTAGTGTGTTGCCCAGTCAAGATTTTAAATGCCCCACCGGACTCTTCCCTTGGGACTCTTCCACGGCCAAAACGAGCTGATTTTTTAGCTATTCAGTCTGAATTTCATGCTGTTACTTCTCAGCGTTCCTGTCCCTCCTATGTTTCTACCCCCTCCACCTTCCCCTGCTCAGACACGGCTTTGCCCAGCCACACAAGCAGCTCTTCACCTGCCTACTCAACGGATCCCTCTAGACATTTTACTGCAATGAGGTGTCCAGTCATGGTCACACCAGAAACGGGATGGTCAGAGGAACCAATAGAGAACAAAGCCACTAAGCTGGATAACCACCGCAAGCCACAGGCAGTGCCTGCTCCGCTAGCCACCCCGACACTCCCGAGGATCGAACCGCGCAGTGCTAGTCCCAGTGGGGCAGTGCACAGGAAGCTACAACGAACAGCAGGAGTTCGAGTCGGCTCAGAAACAAGCGGCTGATGTCAAAGCCCTTCCCTAGCACGGCAGGTTAAGTGCAGGGTGAGCAAAGCACAGGCAATGCCACACGCTCATTGGGAGAGACTCCAGCAGAGCCTGCCACGTGGAACATCCAGACTCTAAGAGCTCCGCTGCGTGGCTGCTTCCAGGTGCAGTGTTCACACCTCATGCACCTGGAGATTTTGCTTTCAGAAGAGAACACTGCCCCAGTGCTCACACTATAGCCCAGCCACCCAAACCCGAGGGAGAAGGGCCTCTCTCCTACCCGAATACGGATTGCTGCTCAGGCTGCCGTCCCTTCCAGTCAGCGGGGTGGTGGGGGTAGGGAATGGGATGCTGTAATAATCCTGAAAGAGACATGGAGAAAGCGCACTGAGCTACATACTGTTACAAAGGTGGGCCTCTTGGAGAAACAGGATTTCCAGGCTGCAACAGCCCAGCGTGTTGGAGTCATGCAGTTCAGATCAGTCACATGGTAGGCTGATCGCATCTGGTAGCAACTCCGGATTTGCTCTTGCATTTACCATCCCCCCTGTCTGGCCATTAGAAGAGCTAGAAAAGGTCTACTGGTATGCATGCTCTTTAAAGGACCAGGACGGTACCTGCAGCATCACAGCCACGGGAATAAGAATAACTTCCCTTCTGCAGAACACGTGCCACATCCCCGGGGCAAGCAGTCCCTCTCTCTCTGGAGAAAGTCAGTCTAGCCAGCGCCATCCGCTGCTCACAGCGAGCAGAGCTCGGCTTGCTTGGACTGCTTCATAAACCTACTCTCCCAATAATTAATGCTGCTGATTCTCAAGTGCCCGAGAACACGTGAAGGAGCTGAACTGATCAAATTGATTAGACTGACCTCTACAGAAAGCACCACAGCTGTATACATACAGAATCGCACTTTGCTAGTCTCTCACCAATACTTTACAACCTGGTATGCCTGTCTGGATTCACTGGTTAGGTCCAGAGATGCAGGCCGGCTGCTAGGATTAGAGAAGCGCCTTACAGATCTTATTTTACGTACTCACCAATGGGAATCTCGTCTGAAGCATCTGCAAGTCGTCATAACCATACACTTGTGGCTAAGAAAGGAGCAGGAGATTGCGTTAGGTACACAAATCGTACAGCTCATTACCAAGTAGCCATGGCAGACCATGTCCATATAATTATCTGACCAAGGATGAAGACCAGCCCCCTCCCCCCCATGACAACAAGAGACAGAGTGACTGGAAAGAGAGAAACTGCTACGGGACCTGGCCAAAGATCTCTAGTTCGCTGCTGTGCGATGTGGTGCCAGGTGGGATTCTAGGGCTCATCAAATATCAGTGGGACAATCCCAGCTTGTAAGTAGTTTGCAGAAGTTGTATACGCAAATGTGTCACTTCTCTAGTTTCTCTCTCTCACACACACACACACACACACACACACACACACACACACACACACAGCTAAGCTTGTGGGCTCCTGACCGAGGGGGGCACCTCACAACCACCAGACAGAACGGTGGCCGGTATGGAAAAGCTGAGCACCTCGGCTAAGATCTTTGGTTCAGTCTGTCACCCTGGTCCCCAGCTTCTGACACCATTCCCCAGTACAGGCACTGCAATCAGTGCTCCACGGCTCCTGCTTCTCTACCGCAAGGAGAACGCTCTGTGGCGAGTCCTAGTGCCCCACTGCTGCCCACTTCCCATTCCAGCTGTTTGCACGTTAACCCACCAAGGAGCTGGCACTGCTCCAAACCTCTGCTCCCAGGGACCTTGGATCAATAGGTGCTGCTGGCTGACCAGGCTGGGAACCAGGGCTCCTCGCTCTGCATTGCATGGGGGTGGGGGGGGTCTGTACATGCCCTACTTGCTGGAGGTTAGCGACGCTGACCGAGTGAACACCCCTGCAGTCATCTCCACCAAGTGACACTTACCCCTGCACAAACATTGCTCCCTCCCGCAGGGCCCTTTCACAGCCCAGGGGCCTCCCACCTAGCGGAGCCCCATTGATTAGCTTTTGTAAGAGTTTTATGTTGCAAGTTCAACCAGGTGGTGTCTGCTTGACTGCATCTGGTACCAACTCTGATTCCTCTGGCATGCACTGTCCCTCCTTGCTAGCTACAGAGAGAGCTAGGAAGGATCTACTGGCATGCGGCAGCCGGCTCCCCAGAGCCCCACTCACCGGATAGGCATGTAAGAGCCCTGGAGCCATGATGTACGGATTAGGCAACAATGGTGGAACTCCAGGAGGGAGGTTGGGAGGGGCTTTTCCTGAAGGAGGAAAACACAGTGAAACAAACATCAGATCAGCTTCTCACCCTCCCCACCCCCCCACAGCAGCCCTACCCCCCCCAAGTAC